CCATAACGTTTGTAAGTTTTTTACTTTTTTTTAAATGTTGCCCTACACTAGTATTTTCTCCTGTGTCGTGGGTGCGATTACAAACATACAATTTCACATACACATGACACCCAGACCCGGAACAACAATTTGTGGATCACAAAAAGAGTTGTTCCGTGCGAGAATCGAACCCGCGACACGTTGCACGGCAGCCAGTTGCCCGGCCACCGCACCAACTGTGCAGTAAGTATTAAATATGTTGATTAAATTAATTATGGGCATGTCGTGGTTGCCCGGAGGCTAAGGCGCCCGCTTCTAATGCTCTTGTTAGAAACCTGGCAGGTACCAATGTGACTTTTTCCAAGTTGAATGTCATCATCATCATCATGAGCCTATAAGTGCCCACTGCTGAGCAAAGGCCTCATCTCAAACGGAGAAGGTTAGAGCATTAATCACCATACTTGCTAATGCGATTTCAAACTTATAATTATAAATTATAAGTCCAGGTTTCCTCATATGACAGTGGATGTGTACCTTCACCATATGACAGTGGTGTCTAATTAATCACAGAAAGTACTTACATGTAACTCGGAGAAAAAGTCATATTGGTACTTGCCGGTTTTCGACACACCCTCATTCATGAGAATCGGGCTCCTTATCCTCCGGGCCACCACGACACAAGTTAAAATTTACTGTCTATGATTCAGTCACACCCTTTTTCAAGAGGGGAAAATAATCAAAATACCTCCGGTGCTCTAAGTTACTAAGTAAAAACCGACCCGTTCCATCTTCTGGTCCGAGCCGTTCCGCGTTATATCACTGAGTTTTCACTAACAAGCCTGACTAGTTCATCGACTTCTTCCGACTAAGTTTATAATGGTAGATATCTATAGATATTAATTTATACACAAAATTATATTGCACCAAAAGACATTAACTAATGGCCAATCAACTTTGAACTATTAAAAGGTCACAGAAATAACATTTACGGTGACCTTATTAATATACTTTAGCTAAATAAGCCATCAATTTCGTTTCTAATATCGATTTTTGTTTTAATTCATAGAATATTAAATTGAGATCTTATTGACATTGTTTTTTACGATAGAGATAGAGATAGTTAAATAGGTTAAAAGAGAGAGACATGAATAGTCATGTAAATGTCAACAGTAGGTATCTAAGCAAATTGTAAGACCATGTAACGAGAGTTTCCAACCTAACTTTCAAGTCCAATATCATAGAAACTACTAAACCAATTTTAATAAAATTGCTGCACCAGTAGCTCGGCTCGAAGGTAAGGGCGTTATTTTCCGAGTTATATGTACTTTCTATGATTATTTATACACAACCGACAAGGGGTGAAGGAGGAAACGTCGTGAGGAAACCTGGCCCTAAAATTTCTTATTATAAGTTTGAAATCACTAATCCGCTCTGAGCAAGCGTGGTGCTTAATGCTCAAACCTTATCCATGTAAGAGGAGGCCTTTACTCAGCAGTGGGCACTTATAGGTTGATGTGGTACATCAAGCTATTTATCAAGGTCTTATTTGCAGAGGAATATATTATAATCTAATAACTTCTCCCGCCATGAATGGGACGAGAGAGAGTGTCAGACTCTTAATGATAAAAATATGTAGTTTTTTCTCCTGTCCCGAGTCAATGCCGCGATATATTATTGCGCTTGCAACCCCGTAATACCAATATCAAGTTCTAAAAAAGTTTATTACGACTACTGAAAGATGTATTCATATCTAGTTCATGAAATTAGTAGGTATCTATACTAATGTTATAAAGAGGTAAAATTTGTAAGTTTGTATGTAGGGGGTAATCTTTGGAACCGGTCGTTCGGTGGTCGGATTGCCAAAATTCTTTCACTGATAGATAGCTACAATGTTCCTGAGTGCTACGCCGCGCGAGAGTAGCTAATCCATATGTATATAAATCTGTATGCAGACTCAAATTTATTTTTTGTCATCTCATTTTTTTTAACTTTTTAATCTGTGCTGTAGGTATTTGATTTTGTTAGAGGCCTTCCGTTGTTTATGAATTAAATAAAACTGCAGTGAATTGATTACACTTCAAGGTTCGTTTGATAACAAGCAAACAAGAACATCAATTGTTTTCGCTCTAAATTAAAATATAAGTAGGTCAGCAACAAATAGAATGCCATAAAATATGTTTAAAAACATTTAGGCTACTTCCAATTTACAAACTTTTCTCTCTATTCGAAATCAAACTTTAATTCCATGAAAATAAGCTTTATAACAATTTTAATGCATTGGGTGAATGCATGTGAGAAGTTGCTTTGTAGTTGAATATTATCTCGTTAATATTTTATGAGACGCCTATTAACTACAAATTACTTTTATAATGCAATATAATTAGATTTTCATGGGAGAATTTACTTTACATTTATTTTAATCTGGCAACACTTTGCGGAAGTTTGTTCTCGTTTATCTAAAATTACTGCAGTGAATGTAAAAGTAATTATAAATTCATTAACATCGGTTATTTGGAAATTAAATATTAAAACTGACTTTAGAAATATCTTCATTCCAGTTTGAGAATGCATTTAAGTATAAAGAACGCTATGCAATAAAATTCTAGGAATAGTTTCGTTATGGCGAGTTGTGGGCCCATTGTGTCGGCCATTACTTCGTGTGAGGTGACAATCGAGTCAGGGTTGCCACAGCTAAAAGAATATTTTACCATTCACAACGAACACTTATTCAAAATTTATATTTTTTAATTATTGTTTTGTGAAACATTGGATAGTTTGATTATGAATTGTGTAGTGTTAATAAGTATTTTGATTGTATCCTGAGAACAATTTCGATACTGGGAAAGGTAAATGTGATTTGGTCATAGTATTAGGTCAATTTAGATCTTACGAAAGAGGTTTATGTCATCATATCAACAAAAATGGTTAGGGGAGTCGGTAGAGGGTGCTCTAAACGGACGTTCATCGAACAAACTGATTATTTTGATAAAGCTTCTAATCTTAATTTAGGCTTTCCATTGTCTCTAACGCCAATGGGAGACAGGCGTGCGATATGAATGTATGTGTTTTAAATTTTTGAATTCCAACATAGTTTTAAACTCTTACAAGCCAGTTACAATCAGTAACTAATGAAGAGTGAAGATAACATTTAATAATTACTCGCTCCTCTGCCCGCCAACATTGTAATTAAGAATATGCCTAACGGTGTCAAAGACTAACTAGTAATCACTGTAAGATGAACAAGCATAATTTATTGCGTGAATAGCCATAGAAGTGATGTCTAATTACAACCAATTTGGTTAAGACACGACACCAATTTATAAATCCTTATTCTGTAAGCTTCCTTTGTATTCAAATTCAACTTAGTTTTTTGTCTCACCTCATTCAGTGAGCACGTTGTCAATAAAAGATTATGCATCTTTTATCTTCATTTTAATCGGAATTATAAGATTGCATCCTGCCTTTGTACCAATCGACTTTCATTTTTTTGTATAGGTAACTAATGTTGTATAGAAATCAAATGGTTCAATGCGACTATTGATTCATTATTGCAACAGTTCTCAATAATATCATTATGAATGTTGCTTCTGATGTATATGTATTGCATACACTTATATTCTATGGTTCATATGACGAAATAATTATAATGACATTCAAATAACAAAATTGGGACGATCCGTCATAAAGTACCCATTGAACATTATTAGGTAGGTATGTGTTTCGCAAACATGATTACCCTGGGCTTTGTAGACGCCATTTTGTTATTCCATTTTCAAATCAACGTCTTTGGCATATGTCAGTCAAGCGTGATGTGTTGCCACATGTAATAATTTAAGTACGGCTTTGGGAATTTAATTTTTATTAGACATTTTACACTATTGTTTTCTTAAGACACGATCCGTGTTTAATTATATTTAGAATAGTCGTTTCATTTTGAAAAGCCATCAAACGTCTCCAACGTCTGTTTCTGACACTAAAGCCTGTAATCTATCTCCATTCTTATAAATAGGCAAATGGAATTGTAACTAGTTTATGCTCGGTTTACGACGCCATAATTGTCTTCCTTTATTTTCTTTAACTTTATCGAAGTGAATCGTTCTTTATTTTTATATTTTAATTCGTGATATTACGACATGGGTATCGCATTTTATTGTTTATTAAGAAAATAATGGCGGCTAAGCTAGTAAGACATAAAAAATGTACTATCAGCATAACATGAAGCGTAAAACTTTTTATCTACTTTCGAGCAATAGCTGAGTAATTCCAGCTGTAATTAGTGCAAACAATTTTCAACTTGATTCTAGTTTAAATAGATACGATTTTACCATGTTTCTGTTTAATATAAACGGTACAAAAATTGCATCTTTCAAGTGTTCTTATTATTGTTAACATCATTAAAATGTCTACTCTATTAAACCGTGTGAAAGAATCTAACACACATTTTGAGAATGTTTATCGTTGAAACTAAACGTATTTACGTAGATATATATTTGTGTTAGTATGTAATTACGACCTTGTTCTATTAAAAATACATTAGCTATGCATGAGATAATTTTCATCCGTTGCGTATGTACAATCCCTAATTATGTAAGTTTTTGGTCAACATTTACTGCGTTTTTTTTCAACGCGAATGAGATATTTGAAAGTGTGTGACTAATATCATAAAATGCAATATTATAATTAATAACGTATGTGTAATAAATATATTATTAAGTATACAAATTAGAACAATGAGCCTGTGTTATGAGCGTTAAATTTTGTTAAAATATTTTAACATCTCACTGAAGAGCTGCATAAAAAGCTTAGGTAAATCGATTCATAAAAGATTCAAATGACATTTTGACAGCAAGCGGCCAATGACCCAGAAAACAAAAGATGTATTGTTTTACTTATTAATTCGAGTATTGTTTTGTTGCAAATCAATGACGACAAATGCATAACTGGAAACAACTTTGATGATATGGAAGAGTCTGGACTCTAAATAACGTTTTGGAAGGACCCAATGAAAGAAGAAAACTCACCGTTCTACTAGTGGAACCAGGTTGTCAAGGAACTCGAAGCCGCCGTGCGTTGTGGTCGTGATGGTTTCGTGACACTGCAGCGGTCCATGGTTAGCACGCACGTAGTTCTTCAGAACCCAATACTCTCCCCGCTGCAAGGTCTCAGGATAGAAGTCCCTGTCTTTGCAACCGAGTATAGCTTTAAGTGCCATCAACGTGGAGTTAGTTAGGACATTCTCATCGTAAGGATCAACTTCTTCCAGTATATTAGCTTCGGATGGCACAGCACTTACATTCTTCTCTACATCTGATGCGGTACTGGATGCAGTCTTATTTACAGTGGACATTGTCGTCACGGTTAATTTCTGGGAAGTGAATTCTGTTAGCTTTCGCATATTCGCGTCCGATAGGTTTGCTGTGAATTCTCGTTCCTCATCCTTGAGGTACCTTATTTCGGCAGTTCTTTCGGAGCCATCACTCGTGATGGGCATCCACTCGGCCCCTGGGGCGCTATTTCCAGAATAATGCATCGCCACGTAAAATAGTACGACGATGTTGATCACTATGCTGACCCTAAATATTAAGTTGCGGCGGTTGCCCAGGATTACAATAAAATTAGGCACTTGCATTTTTATAAACTAGTGTTAACTATTCGAGTTTATCTACAACGTCCTTCGTCGTCCTCTAGGACGTAGTTTCCTATAGAGCACAGTTTGTGTCAGCATCACAGATTATTGTATCATCATCAGCAGAGCTGAGCTGCACGCCGGGCCGGCGCCGCACCTGCCCCTGCAACAAGCAAAAACATAAATTCAATATATCTTCAATAACTCAAGTCACTGTTATTACTGTTTAGGAAGATTGCTGTAGGAAATGAAAACGAAGGGTTACAACCGCTGACTGAGACGCATTATAATTTTCTACCATAAAATACTAATCCAAATTGATTGCAATCTAATCCTAAGTATTTATTGCAGAAGTCATGACCCATAAAATAATACGGAAGCTCTGTACTTTAATTTATTAGCGGGGTAAGTGAACCAGGCGAACCCTAGTTGCACTCATCCTTATTCATATTATAAATACAAGAGTGTGTTTTGTTTTTCTTTCTTTCACGTCACAATGGGACGATTTTATGCTATAATTTTTATCAGCATCGCGAGTTACGCCGAACTTCACTCGGATGTCTTCATAATTAAATAGTTTCGATTTTACAATGTAAGGAAATAAAATAACCATACATCCATTAAAGGATTTTTATCCAAACTAATATCATAAATGCAAAAGTAAGTCTGTCTGTCTTTTCTTCACGCCTAAACTACTGGACCTATTTGTGTGAAATTTGGTACAGACATAGGATAGCTTTTAAAACAAAAAACTGCAGGAACTCACTATTCCAATTAAATACACTTATAAATACTACTGAGTATTTCTTTTTGCTTCCTAATTGTCAAGATATTAGTATGCCAATTAACGCAAAACACGATATCGTCCCAAACAACGTCAAAAAGTATCTATTTTGGCAAAACAAAAAATAAAAAAAAAATAACTTGACTGGTTGCCAGTTCCCAATTATAAGTACCTACATTTACTAGGTACATTTCTAAATGAAATTTAAATTAATAATTACTAGTTATAAGTTATTTGCTAATTGACCATATTGGACGGACGCCTTAAGAGTAATTTTAATCTTTAATTAGCAAGTAGAGTTCTGATTAGTGTTTATCTGAGTGCTATCCTCATAATTTAGATCGCTATCTACCGCGGGATGGATTAATCCGGGCATTTTATCTTTGTACCGAATGCCTTCGACATGCAACTTTAGTGGCTAGTTAGATGCACTAAACTACATTTAAAACTGGATTCAATTACTTGTGTGCCTGCATACTCGTATCCTAGGTATCTCAGCGTGATAATCCTAATATCCAACATAATTTTTATATTTGTCTGGACTTTAAAAGAGACTGACCTCCGAGTTTGTTTCGGCATTTCATTTCAGAGTAGTCAAATCAAAATGAAATAGAAATGTTGACTTATTTTTTTGAAACAGCTCGACAAGTTTCAAGCGAAACCGGGACCCTTATTCAATGATAAAATAGCTTTCATTTCGAATGAAGGTGTACGAATAAAATTGTACATTTGTACCAAACAAATATGTTTTAGGTACTATAGTTATTTTATTTTAGTAAGAAAATGTTTTTGTTTAGTAAAACGAGTTGAGAGAAATCTTTTATTTTAATCTTAATAGTGTAGTTAAGACCATCTTACACTAGATACTTCGATTACAAAATATTTTGTTTGATAGTTTATAAAATGAAAGAGTCCAAGGCAATATTTGTTGATACATTAATAGAATGAAAGAGGCTAAGGAAATATATGTTTTAATCTATCAACCGCTTGTATAAATACCATATTATTGAAAGGTATGAAACATAATATTATTATTATTATTTACAAAAAGGGTGGGTCAGTGTTATCGGTCAACATCATCACATTTTATTTTAATTATTTCTACAATCAATACCGATCAGACTACTAGAATACGACACCAAGAGTTATGGGGTTGCGGGGTAAACGCAATGAGGCATCGCAGCCCCGGCCTAAAGCAGAAGAAAAGGAGGATTTTTAGTCAGTAAGAGTCTGACACTGATGCTTTTGTCCTGACAAAAAAAGAGACCCCTTTTTACCTTTAGATTAGAATTAGGATATGGGGAGAGCGAAAGAAGTTGCCCTAGCCCGGTTCGGAGCAGGAGAAGAAACTTGTTGGTTTTTAGTCAGTAAGAATCTGACGCTCCTCTCGCTCTACGCAGCGCGGAAGATGATTTTATTCCTAACTAGCTACTCTAGCGCGGTTTCACCCGCTGCTCAGCTCCATTTAATCCTAGTGTAATGTTTTATAGCCTATAGCACTCAGGAACATTGTAGCTATCTATCAGTGAAAGAATTTTGGCAATTCGACCAGCGAGAGCGGTCCAAAGATTATCCCGTACATACAAACTTACAAATTTTAGCTCTTTATAATCTTAGTATAGATAATGAAATATATAGTCAATAAAATTGATAATATTAGGTCTAGACTGAAAGAACTCGTTAAGTAAAATAACAAAGACTAAATTAGTAGTTTTCCAAGCTTCTTATAATTAGTACCTACCTATGTTACAACAGAAAATACCAAGATGTTATCATAATAACTCGTGAGGTTTGCAGATTACATTCATTGCTTAATTGTCCTGCTAAATGTGGTAAGAGGCACTTATTTGTAGGTGTGTAGGTAAAATTAACAAAATAAGTAAGTCATCTTTTACTCCCCGATGATCCCGATGCTGATGTGTCCAATACTACGTTACGTAACACTCATTGATTATCCAATAGATGGATGGATTCATCGTGATTATTAAGCAAAAGGCCTCTTCTCATGCGGAGAAGGTTTGAGCAATAATCGCCACGCCACGCCACTTATAATCGCACGATCTCCGGGGAGGCGGCGAACCTCCTTGCCGGATCACCGCCGTGGGATCTAGAAGCGAAGGCGCTCGCGCGCGTTTACAGTTTGCGCGCAGACGCGCGTCGCCGGGGCGAAGATCCTCTGCCGCGCCAAATTAGTGCGTGGCGGAATGAGCTCCGGCGAGATCTCATGGCAGAGTGGAAACAGCGACTGTCGCAACCGAGGGCCGGGCACGCTACCATAGCAGCGGTGAGACCCCTCTTTGAGGAGTGGCTTGAGAGACGCCACGGCGTCCTCACCTTACGTCTGACGCAGGTGCTTACCGGGCACGGCAGCTTCGGTAGGTTCCTGTTTCGGATTCAGCGGGAGGAAACGCCCGAGTGTCGTCATTGTGAGGACCACCTAGAGGATACGGTGGAGCATACGGTAGCGGTATGCCCTGCCTGGGCTGAGCACCGCCGTATCCTCAGGGAAGTGATCGGCGGCGGCGACCTCTCGCGCCCGGCCTTAGTCGAGGCCATGGTGCGGAGTGAGAGGAACTGGGACGCCGTCTCCTCCTTTTGTGAAGCAGTCATGCTCGCAAAGAGAGAGGCGGCCCGCGTGAGGGAGCAATCCTACTCCTCACGCCCCAGCAGCCGCAACTGGCGACACTACGGGCGTCGGGGATCGAGGGACGATCTCCGGCCACCGTAAGTACGGGCCTGCGGTCGGCGAGTAAGGGCAGCTCGCCGCCCGACCAGAACCAGGCCCGAGCGTACGGCGCGTAGCGTTCCGCGCGCGCCTCAAAGAGCCAATAGACCACCACAGACGGGGCCCTAAAGGGCTGATGTTCAGCCGGGGTTGCGGGGTAAGCGCAATGAGGTACCGCGACCTCGGCACAGAGCAGGAGAAGGAACAGGGGGGTTTTTAGTCAGTAAGAGTCTGACACTCCCTCCTGCCCGGCCCTGGGCGGGAGAAGTCATTTGATGATTTTCCTCTCACAAAAAAAAAAAACGCCACTTATAATAAAAAAATTTAAGTGCTCGTTTCGTTGGTTACAGCGATATCTAAACTCGGTGTTTCGAATTACTCCACAACCAGGCTTAAAAACACAAAATACAAAAAAATTCTTTGGTTTATAAGACACAAAATTATCTTTGATTGTTTAACTTGAATATCAATTACAAGCCTTTATGTAACAGTCAGAAATTCATTCAAATTATTAAAACAATATTTCAAATATTATGAAAACATAATGTTTTTATAAAGATATTCAAATTTAACAATACCTACCAGCTCGTTCCCACGTCCATTAGACACTTTACCGTCGAAAAATCAGATTGTAATTAAGTACCTATGTTATAATTCATTTCATGAGAATATGGTCGTTTTAATATATATATTTTTTTTTGTTAAATAATCTTTATTTAATAACTATCGTGAGATACCAAAACTACAGAAAATAATTACTTACTCATGTGCATTACACATTACGAGAAAATCTCTACTAGTTTCAAGTTACAACGGGACCCTTAAGCCTCATTTACGTTTAAGCGGCGCGTTGTGCGGTGCGATGTGCGGTTCGTCATACATTGCTTGTGATATTTTTATGATAACTTTCGTGAGACATACTAAATTATTTATTATGTTTTCGGCTTACTCACGTAATAATTTGACGAGATACTCGACTAGTTTCAAGCCATGCTAGAGGCCCATATTCATGAGCAGCATTCCGCGACACGCGACTCGAAAAAGCAAAGCACTCCAAAAAGCAAAGCACTTCTCCCACCCTGTGCGGGGCGGACGGAAGTGACAGACTCTTACTGACTAAAATACTGCCATTCCTTCTCCTGCTCTGGGCCGAAGCCGCGGTGCCTTATTGTGCCTGCTCCATAAGCGACTTCTCTCCTCTGGAGTTGTAATTGTCCATAGACGTACTAAAGTGTTAAATTATAATGGTCGTATTATAGCGATCGATGCTACTTCAAACAGTTACGTAAGTGAAAAACATTTACAATGAAACACTATTTGCCCTTGATTGGTGCTTGAATTATAATAAGGCACAATTTGTGGGGAGTGCTTCTACGTAGGCTAATGGGCGTATTTTAGTATTTTTACCGAGGTCTGCGTTTAAGACACGCGAACTGCCTGTGAATAATAGAAATGTGTCAGAAGGACGCTTTATATCAGTAATCAAATGAGACACATTACAACACTAGCTAGTTTTTAAAAGATTTTTTTTTATTTATGTTCGAATTCGGTGCCAAACTTTTGGGGATCAGCGATCTCCAAGGGCGTGGTCGGTTTCTTGGAGTTGTTAGGGATTTACGGATATGGGATTTGAGGATAGGATTTTTTTATTATT